TGAAACGAAAACCATTCATAATACCATTACCCAAAGACTTTCACTGTTGATCTTAGCTATTCACAGAGTCATCACCTATAACGCGTGTTATAAATCACTTATGCTTCTCAACTTCTCCTTTGTTTTCAAAAAAGTATCCAAATCTTTATACTACTACACAAAGCAAGCCAAAGTCGGTTTCTAAGAAAATATTTTAAATTTCTGAAAATAGTGTTTTATACATTAAAGAATGTTGGACAGTTTTTTGTACTAGGGTTTTGGTGTTTCATTATTTGTCATGTGTGAAGGGACTAGGAAATATGTTTTTCTGATTTAAATTAAGTTCAAGGGCTATGGAGATAGCTGTCAACAAATAGGCTAGAAGTATTCTTTTATACAAGCCTAAACACCCTCTGGGGTACATTTTCTGTTTTGAAAGTTACTTCAAACTTCATTTAATAGAGTGCCAAAAGTTTAAAGAGTTAATGTTTAAAAGAAGAATGAGACAATTTAAGTGATTCTTATTAGATCATACATTAAAGCACCCAATTTTCCAGTCCGATAAAAATAAGTATGAAAATGGGTTAATGCAGCACAGAAATATACCCTAAAGTTTTGTTTATATCCTATCTAGGTGTGTATATGTAGTACTTAAGTATACGTAAGATGGTCTATTTCAACATGACAATAATAAGTAAGTTTAAAGGTACTATTTATTCCGTTTTTGTTTCTCTTTATTCCATGTAAAGGAGGCCTGTTCTTTTCCGTAAAAGGGAGAATGTCACCATTACAAAGAGTTATTGCAGGGGAATAGTTGGAATCACGAAAAATCTTTGTCAGACACTACCAAATATTAGAAAATTGAATTTTAATCTGTTGACTTAATTCCCATCTGGAAAAGAAGACAATCCTATCTCTTTATCTCATGCTGACCTTGACTTGCTTAGCCTTCTGTTCATTTACTATGGTTGTAGTTAGTATAAAAATACATCTTTCAGAATGAATTCAACTGTACCTTGGAAAAAACTTTAAGACAAATTTATTTAGTCAATAGAGAGAAATACAGTAAATGTTTGTGTTTATGATATGAAGGTATAGCAATTAGATTTTAAGGATATCCTTTCCCTGAATGGCCCATATTTTCCTCATATCTTCACCCAACACAAACACCCTTTTAAAATTCCATATTCTTATTAATTTCATTCATTCAACAGATTTTTATGAATCATTTTCCATGTGCAACACATCCATCTAGGTCCTGGGGAACCACAAGAGAAGAGAGGAAATATTTGTCCTCATGGAGTTCATATTTCAGAGAGTGTATTTGAGAAAGTTACTACTATTAAATTCAATTTATTTATTTTGAGATAGAGTTTCACTCTTGTTACCCAGGCTGGAGTGCAGTGACGTGATCTCAGCTCACTGCAATCTCTGCCTCCCTGGTTCAAGCGATTCTCCTGCCTCAGCCCCCTGAGCAGCTCTAACTACAGGCACCCACCACGACACCCAGCTAATTTTTGAATTTTTAGTAGAGATGGGGTTTCACCATGTTGGCCAGGCTGGTCTCGAACTCCTGAACTCAGGTGGTCCACCTGTCTTGGCCTCCCAAAATGCTGAGATTACAGGCATGAGCCATCATACCTGACCTAATTTAATTTAATAAACTTCTATTGACTGCCTATACAGTATTTTCCTAGTTCCTATGAATATGAGTAGCTGAAAAGATAAAATACATGGTGGCGTAAATGTCATCTCTCTATAACATCTCTTAAACTAGTTGCCTCCTCGTGTATTTCTATGATACTTCATGTACACCTGTGCCATAGCAAAATCGGAATGCATTACACTTTTGTGTATGCATGTTTATCTTTCCCGCAGTAGTCTCTGCGAGGCTCAGGACCCTGTAGTATTTATGTCTTATGCCCCTGAAGAGCGCAGTACTTACCCCTGTAGTATTTATGTCTTATGCCCCTGAAGAGCGCAGTACTTACCCCTGTAGTATTTATGTCTTATCTCCCTGAAGAGCACAGTACTTACCTGAGTAAATGATTCGACTTGAAGAAGATTGAATATGTAGCTTCTGCTCTCAGAAAACCTTCAGTGAAGAAGAAAAAAAAAAAAGAAGAGAGAGAAATAAACAGCCTATTCCTGAAGAGAAACAAAGCCCTATAAGAGACACTCAATCTTTTATGTCAGTGTTCATATTAAGGGAGCCCAGATAGAGTAACAGTTTAAAAGAGAGAGGATTGGTTTAGTATAATAAATACAGAATGTTTTTTTATCACTGTATAGACCAAAAAAAGATAATTTCTCCTGGTATTTAAATAAAAGTTGAGAGAATTACAATGTTTGTATATGACAGCCACACAATCTTATATAAATTAAAGTAAACAAGCCCAGGTGTGAAATAATTACTACATCCGTGGGTAGGCAAGCATTTACCAAATCTTAGTCGGAAAAAAAGAAAAAACAATTTAGAATCTTCTTCCTAATCTGAGTTTTCATATGTTTGAATGTTTGGTGAAAAATAGTCAAAGCATCCAATTGGAGTATCAGCAGGGAAACAGGTCAGACACTCTCCCCTAAAGAATTGCCCGTCAGTATCGGATTTCTATTCATCATGTCCTCATTCCTCTTCCCAGTGTCCAGGAATCGGTGTTCCTATACTTTGCCTCAAACAGGCAACATTTTCTAGTTGTTTAACTAAGTTGACCTATATTCATGACCTAAATGATGCCATCTCTTTAGATGCACCTATTCAGGCATAAACCATCTCATAGAGTAGTAAGTGAGGGTAAGTACCTGCATATTTTGCATTGCCTATAGCATGTAATATATTTTTGACATACCCTATTTCTGAGTCTCTTTTCTTGAATGAGTCAGAAAGTGGGTGAGCAAGTGAGTAAGGAATAGAAGTTAGATGCACAGAATTCTACAAGTTCAATTAGCATATTTTTTTTACAGAATGCCACTTAGTAAATGATCATGGCTACTGAAAAATTGCTCTTCTGGTGGTCAGAAACGCCACCATTGTCTCACAAACAAAATAAAAATTTTAAATGAGAAAGAAATAGAATATACATGGGATACTCAAGGACAAGAAGACGACGAAGATTGTGTCCTTACTTTCCCTGGCATAGCCATTTAACATTTTCTCTACCTTATACCACCCCACCCTTACTCTCAGAAAGACATTCTTGAGGAACACATGGAAATTGTTAATGTTTTTTTGAATAAAAATATGCTTAGGGCATAGAATGCCTGAAGGACCTTTCACATAAATTGACCATTCCTAGATTCAAATAAGAGACTGAACAAATTTAAGGGAGTTTTCTGAATTATCATGTTAGCTGCAGAACACAGCACTTTCAACATAGAGTGGAACTTTCCTTGGGGAGAAGAGCTAGAGAAGTCACTGTACATTTTAAATATTTTGGTTTTTAACATATATGGTTTTGAGTCCTTGTGGAAACAGCCTGAAGTCAGGCCTCAGATTATTATCATTGTTTATATTGCCATAGGGACATAAGGTAACCTATCTCAAAAAAGCTGAGTCTGCAGGGCTTAATTATTTGCTTATCTCAGAACGTTCTGTAATTTACCCTTGGGGTTTTGACCTGTAATGATCACCTTCTTTTTATGATACTTAAGGTGTCCGTTTGTTTGGCCATCCTAATGTTGTTGATTTGACTGGCAATGAAAGCATTCATTTACATTCCTTAACTGAAAAGAAGCTTCTCACCACACTGTGGCACAGGTAACAGTGACTGTTAGGAATGTGCCACTGCATTTTTTCCCTGAAAATTAGATAATGAGCAGTTGTGACCATGACTCCAGCCTGACCCAGCTCAAATGACGTCTTACTTTAAATACAGTAAGATCCATAAAAATCTTCTGAAGGCATCTCGGTTTCCTCTATAAATGATGTCAGTTGTAGAACAATTAAAATCTATGACTTTTTACATTACAAATAAGATGTTTCTGTTTGCTACTTTTTTTTTTTTTGAGATAGGGTCTTGCTCTGTCACCAGGCTGGAGTGCAGTGGTGCAATCTCAGCTCACTGCAACATCTGCCTCCTGAGTTCAAGCAATTCTTCTGCCTCAGCCTCCCGAGTAGCTGGGACCACAAGCGCTTGTCACCATGCACGGCTAATTTTTATATTTTTGGTAGAGACGGGGTTTCACCGTGTTGGCCAGGATGGTCTCAATCTCTTGACCTTGTGATCTGCCTGCCTCAGCCTCCCAAAGTGCTGGGGTTACAGGCGTGAGCCACCGCGCCCGGCCTCTGTTTGCTACTTTTGGCATTCTTTTTCCTTATAGCAGGACAAAATCAAATTATTTATATGTATAATCATTATATATGGATCCAAATCAGATTACTTATGTATAATCAGTATATATATATATATTGATCTTTCTGTGCATGGAGTTTAAACTTTGACTCAATAGTGTACACACATATATTATGGTCACCTTTCAAGAAAAATCAGTCTGAAACTATTACCTCAAAAGAAATGTAAAATTAAAACAAAAATTGATTCCAAAGCTCCATAGGCCACAAGTCATTTTGATGAATGCCTTCAGCCCTGTAGTACCACCAACTGCGTCAATAACAAGGGAAACTCTCTCAGACACTATTCCTAAACATTTTTGTAGATATAAAAGAGAAAGTTTTAAGATATTTATACATATTTATTTTAAATATTTCAACGGTTAGAAATTCTTAGTTACCAAATGTGAAATATTAATTTAATTAAACATAGTTTTCATCAGTGGGTTTTGATCAGGATAAAATTTCTGAGAATGTTTAATGTGTTCAGTTGGGTTCCAAACAACTTAATTTGTTTCCTCACTGTATGTATTTCCTGTCCTTAGACAGTAATATATCTGACTGAGTCACTTTTTAAAAAATCCTCTCTATAAAGTAAGAGGCATGTTTTGTAAGCCACTGAATCACTAGATTTCGTTCCAATGTTGATTTTCAACGAGAATACACTTTCAACTATTGTCTTTTAATGTAGACCTTTAATGCCTGAGGAATGCAGAGCCACGGTACAACCCGCACAGACGCTGGCCTCGGAGTGCTCCAGGCTCTGTCGAAACGGCTACTGCACCCCCACAGGAAAGTGCTGCTGCAGTGCAGGCTGGGAGGGGGACTTCTGCAGAATCGGTTAGTATTTCTGTTTTCACCTGAAAGGACTGGGGACGAGCCAGTCCTTAGGTACTCAAGAACTCGACATCCATTGTTTCTTCTACAATTGTATAGTGTTCAAAAGTGGTTAGCCACTTGCAATGCTATTAATGCTCATCTGTCTCCGAGCTTGTAAGTAAAATCTTGCTCATTTTCTTAATGTAAACAATTCACCTATGTAAGTTAATTATAAAGATACAAAATCTTTAAATGACTGAATCCTTTCAAAAAGTAAAAAACAGCACAACTGGATCATCTTGTGGACCTCGCAGTCCTGGGCTCTGAGATTTCACACTAGCGATGACTTAAAACATGCAAAGCCCCCCTCCAAGTGCTAGCATTTTCCAGACACCCCGTAAATGACCTCCCTGGCTTTACTGCTTGCTTTCCTGCTACAGCAGACTAAAAACAGGGCTTTTCAGTGGGTGTTATTAAATAAAAGGAGAAATGCAGTTATTTAGAGATATATTATGAGATTTTTTTCATGCTTTTCGCCACCCCCCTGTGAACCATCAACTAGGTGTGCATCTGCTCAGAGACAGCAAAGGAGATTTATTCCAGGGTTGTTCTAGCCTGTAACTTGATATTTCCTCAATTATGTGCAATGACGTTTAAGTTCTACTTTGTGTGAAGTAAGAAAATTAGATAAATTTAGAAACCTAGAGTTTAAAATTGAATATGCATAATTAACAACCAGCATATATCAACACTTCTAAAAGATTTTGATCTCAGCTATTTCAAATATTAAAATACTTATTGCCAATGAAAATTAAAATCTCAAATTAACATTTAATATTATTAACTCATAAATGCTCTTTGTTGGTCCTCAAGATGTATTTGTTTCAAAAAATTATAACTATAACTTGTCTGTTTTTATATTGTCTAACAAAAATAACCAACATTGAAAATCACATATAGAGAATATATTTTAAACTTGCATTGCATCGGCATTAATAACATGATGTGTTTAATTAATACTATGGTTATGTATCTAGGAAGGAGATATCAAAATTAAAACTCAACAGAAATTAAGTAATTACATTATTTAAAACAAATGCTCACAATTTTTTGACCCATCCTCTCTCTTTTTGTTAGTTGACCAAAAATATGACAATCAGTATTCAAATGCAGTGATATTCAAATTCCTGATAATATATTGTCTCTCCGTTTCCTTTGCTACCTGACAATATCTACTTTCTCTGCATTTTTTTTTAAGATGGAGTCTCTCTCTGTTGCCCAGGCTGGAGTGCAGTGAGGTGATCTCAGCTCACTGAAGCCTCCACCTCCTGGGTTCAAATGATTCTCCTGCTTCAGCTTCCTGAGTAGCTGGGATTATAGGTGCCCACAACCATGCCCTGTTAATTTTTGTATTTTTAGTGGAGATGGGTTTTCCATGTTGGCCAGGCTGGTCTTGAACTTCAACCTCATGTGATCCGCCCGCCTCACCTTTACAGAGTGCTTGGATTACAGATGTGAGCCACCACACTCAGCCTCTCTACATCTTTTAGTAACAGAATATAACATAATAGTGTCCATTCTGCTATATTCCCTGCTTTGCATTTTGCCTAATCTCTTATGTTACCTGAAACCTTCTGGTGGCAGTATGTTTAAACTGAGGATGAATGAATTATCTTGAATACGGGTGGCATTATACATACCTTAATTGATATTAATAGTAAACTGTGATATAAATTAAAATAGACATACATTGAGTTATCGTAAAGTTTTACTCCATGAGGTACTTTCATCTTTACACTGAGTAAATTTAAATCATTTGAATATATAACATTTACCAAAATCATTTTATAAAAGTAATGTTTATTTTGTACGCAAACGAGAATTTTATTAATGTACTCACATTGTTTTCTCATCTCCCACAGATTTAAAAGATAAAATTGTTTATTTTCTTCTTATTTTTTCTTTTCCATGTGTCAACCACAGGCCCCTGGAATTTGATTAATGCATTTGAAAGGTCAAAATGACCCTGTCTCGTCAAAACATAAGGAAATGTATTGAAGGAATTTGACTCCATCCACAGGGATTGTACTCCCCAGATTTATCTTACCAGAAAATGGCAATTTATACACCCAACTTCATGTTTCATTTTAGCATTAAATCTTTATATTCCCATTTATAATGCAGTGGTAAAAATTCTTTAATAAATAAATTCTGGGCTGTAGGATGACCCTAAAAAGGTTTGCTCAAAACATCCTTTGCTGGCCAATTGCACTGACTCCAGAAAGGGACTTCAAAGTGTAATCAGAGAGCAAAGCATATGCTGTGTGCCCCCTGGAAGCAAGGGAAAGGAGGAATTCAAGGGAGTTTATATGGTGGTTATTCCACCTAACCAAAATCCAAAACTGTTCCTTTATGTTGCATTGGAGATGCTGGAGCCTCTGTGTCTCCCCCTCAGGCTGGACTGCTTCCATGTTGAGGTCCTACCTTGAAGGAATGGGAAAATATTAGAGCGTGCGGGGCCGTCTGTAGGGAAGGCTCCTGTGGAGCAGAGATTTCAAAGGACTAAAATCTTCATTTTAAAAAGAGTTAATTTTGCAGAGGGTTGCATTTGTTTCTCGTGATCTCTGCTTCTCTAGAAATGTCTCTCATTCTCTGCTGAGTTCAGGCCCCCAAATAACTATAAGTGTAAAAGCCTGTTTCCTACTTACATATATTTATCTTTCAGATCATTTTGTAATTATCTCCCTTCTTCTTTCCCTCGCTTCCCTTAGTCAGCAAATATTTGCTGGTCTCATGCTCAGTCCTGTTTCTGACATACAGAATGAGAGTATGATGTTCTTGCTCTTTTTCTCTCCCAGCAAAATGTGAGCCAGCTTGTCGTCATGGAGGTGTCTGTGTTAGACCAAACAAGTGCCTCTGTAAAAAAGGATATCTTGGTCCTCAATGTGAACAAGTGGACAGAAACATCCGCAGAGTGACCAGGGCAGGTATTCTTGATCAGATCATTGACATGACATCTTACTTGCTGGATCTAACAAGTTACATTGTATAGTTTATGGGACTGTTTGACTATTCCTTTCCAATGGGCATTTATTTTTTATCCTGTCATTAAAAAGACTGTTATCCTGCTACACACTCCTGTGATTTCATTCTCTTTCACTAATTTAAAAATAATTTCCAAAAATGTGCAGATCTTTTGTGTGTATGTCAGCACGTTTGTTCACATATGCACATACACACACTCATAACCCCTATATGCATGGCTGCATAACAGATGAACTTTTAAAGTATATACTTCCCTGTGCAGAGTAATTTATGCAGAAATTCCATTGTAAATTGATAATGGATTTTTTATGTCACCAGAATAGATTATTTGACTTCCCAGGAATTTTCTGTCTGTAATCACTAAAGTCAACTTTAATAGAGTTTTGAAACATTACTGTGCAATCTGATGGATCTAATAAAAAGGCAATATTTTTATATTAAAGTACTATACTGAGAGAGAATGTTTCAGAACTCCCTGATGAATTTCTAAGTGAGCAACTTGATATAAAATTGTAATCTTCATTTTTGTCAGTGTATCCAATTACAGAATGTTACGCACTTACCTTTTTATTGGCAGAGAAATCTGGTTACTTCATCTTAATCTCAAGACTGTTTTCAAGGGTTTTATAATTAAATCATAATGGCATATTTTAAAATCAGTCTTCCTAAAAGGTCTGCTTTTACTGTATATTTTATTTAACAATAGGCACTGGGTTTGTGTTACGTATTTATATTTTTTATTTTATTTTTATAATATAGACATCACCTAGATGAAACACCTTTACCCTGTCCTGTAAAATACTAAAGTTACATTTTTCACCAACTTAATTGGAAAGAAGGGGAGTGAGAAAGCAAACAGTCTTTAATGTGCTGTGGATCTAATCTAGCAAGGTATCCTTGTGCCAACATATAATCATTAACGACGGATGAAAAAGCAAGAAAACAGCCAATCTTTATAAAATTCCAGCATTAAACATTTGTAAAGTGCTTTTCGCCATAGTAAGACTGTCAGAGTATATGTTATTAGAATGTTGCAGATTTCCATTGAATCGAACCTCACTGGAGAAGAGCTCACTTGTTTTTAAAAAATCTTGGCTATGTAAGCTGTCACCTGTACAAATTTTTAACATAATAATTCTTGCCAAATATGACTTTAAATGTACATGTTCCTTCAGAACTCAATGAAAATACTCTTTGGTTAATGTATCAATAAATTTTCTGTAAATATTCTGTTTAGGGTTTTAAAGAGATGACACATTCTGACTTAAATCTGCAAAAAGTCTAGTAGATATTTTTCTTTATGGTTTTCAAGGCCAGCGCTCCAAGTTTGGATTTTAACAAAATATAAGGCCTCTTTGCACTACTAAAAAAACACATCTACTCATGACAAGTGCACACTCACTATGGCTGTCCTTCTTCTGTAAACATCCATTCCTATAGAATCTAAATTGTGGAGCAGTATAGATTATGCAGCACCAGCTGACTTTCTAAACCTGCTCCTTACCTTTAGGAATACAACCATTAATTTAAAAAATATATTGTAGCTGGTATTTCTCTATTGTTTTAAGGTGAGAGATTTGCAATTAAAGCCCAGTAAGCATTTATATAGGCGCCACAATGTAGAAAGATTGGTTAAGTACACTGCTCTTGTCTTCCATATATGATTACTTAAGTTTCAAGTGACCTCATGCCAAATGGAAATGGGTTGAGAAATCTTGGTTCAGTGCTTAGTGAACAATAGCCTGCATTAAAAAGTGCATGCATAATTTTGCACAATTTAGATTCAATTGACAGTCTATTCAAAGAAGTCTCAGGATTAAATGAGCATGGAGACCAAATTGCCCTCTTACCCCAGAAAAGGGGTGGTCCCTTCTAGTCACACCAACACTTCATTGGCCCAACAGTGTGACAAATCTTGCAATGAACCATGCAGTAGCCTGCATCTGTAGGTTAATAGCAATCTTTTGTCTCCATTGCTTTCTCTTCATAGCCCTTTTACTGAATTCCATCACAGAAAGTTTTACAATTAAAAAAAAAAAATGTCCTGACAACCATTTTTGTAAATGGACCTTACCATCTAATCGTCTCTTATTCAACGTGGGTGACATTAACAAAATGTGAACTTCTTGTGAGGGAGCCAGCTGTCTAAATCTGTCAAATTGTGCAGTTTTATTACACATTCTCCCATTCCTAGTTTCCCTGAAAACAATAAGGATACTGCTATATATTCAGCAAAATGTAAAAAAATCAAGCATTTCTTCTTACATCTTTAAACTTTCCATCTCCTCCCCAAAATAAAAGGTGTCCTATTGCCATTAGTTCTACTGTTTTAAAATATCCATAGTAAGTTGACCAGACCCAGGTTTTTTATACAGCTTTTTCCCAAGTGAAAGATTTTTAAGTGACTTAGAAAAACATATGTGCCCCAGGTGTCATTGCCTTTTCTTTTGTGAGTCATTAGAATAAAAGACCAAGTTCTTCTCAAGAGAAGATAGCAAGATCCACGGATATTAAACCAAGCAAAGAAAGTAAAGTCATTGGAGTCATTTCTTTCTGTTCTTAGGAGAAAAGTAGATAGCACTGGCTAATTGATGGCAACATATTTTAAATTAAGTGGTCAATTCAAAAAATCTCTTTGACCTTTTCTTTCAAGTAGATTTTTTAAATGCATGACTGGCGAATTATCTTCCATGATTCATGATGAGAGGCAGGTAGGAATTGATTAAAAAGTATGAGCTAGGAAAAAATTATTGTTTAATCACATGAAAGGCAACATCTGCTCAGTTCATAAAGCACACAATCTCAAATGGAAAGAAAAGGTCCTTCGTAAGAATACTGTTGGGTAAGATAAAGATGAAATAATGAAAAAGAAAATTGTATATTATTATTTCCTTTTCCATTCTCGAGTTTGTTGTCAGTTGAATGTGAAACGATGTTATAGTTGTTTTAAATGGTTGGAAATAACCTTTCTACTACTGTTTCTGCCATACTGTTGTCCTGGTTCATAGAACCTTGTTTTCTTGACAGTTATTTAAGGTAATAAAAGAAACACCAATTGGCAGATGTTTAAGTGAAAAGGAGAAAATATTTAAGAAACTTGAGTGATGGCAAAAAGTGCTTCCATCCATAACTTTTCTTCTTGGATTTTTTTCAATGTAATTATTGTAAAATATATATTTTATTTTATCACAAAGAATACTCAGAAGTTTTCTCAGATTATTAAGTATCTCATAAAGAGCAGAGAAACCAACACACATATATATACATACAACCTAAATAGAAAACGGTTCTGTTTGTCGTTTGCAAGTCCCAAATAGTTATTTCTTTTCTATTTATTTCTTTGGAAATAATTACAAAATAATATACTAATAATTTTAATCGATTTGCTCTTTTTTTTTTTTGAGACGGAGACTTGCTCTGTTGCCCAGACTGGAGTGCAATGGTGCGATCTCAGCTTGCTGCAACCTCAACCTCCCAGGTTCAAGCAATTCTCCTGTCTCAGCCTCCCAAGTAGCTGGGATTACAGGTGCGCACCACCATGCCTGGCTAATTTTTTTGTGTTTTTAATAGAGACAGGGTTTTATCATATTGGCCAGGCTGATTTCAAACGCCAGACTTCAAGCGATCCACTTGCCTTGGCCTCCCATAGTGCTTTGATTACAGGCATGAGCCACCATGCCCTGCCTCCATTTGCATTTGATATTGTTTTTATCTCTGAATTATAAACTATACAAGCCTACCAGATGTAAGATGTGAGATTAGATGCTACATCTAGGAGCATTCAAGGTATACATTAAACTTTTATTAGTCTAACTTTGCTAAGCCTCTTAGCTTTGAAACATAAAAAAGAAATCAACCCCAAATTTTTAGAGGAAAACTATGGTATACCATTGGGAGTTATAATTTTAATTGTAGTTGACTGATTAACAAATTAGTTTAAGTATTTCTATAAAATGTTACCTATAATATCTGTGTTCTCTTCCTCTCCCTTCCTCCCTCCCTCCTTCTTTCTCTCTCTCTCTCTCAAAGAATATATATATATATACACACACACACATACACACACAGACACACACACACACACACACACACACAAACACACATATTCTTTTTTCTTTTAACCACTTCCCTCACCTGTATTTTCTGTTGGTTTTGCCTAGATAGACATGTTCTCAATATATCTATATTCAAGGTAGCCTGGGATAGTTTGCTATTGATTTTGCTGGTTATGATCTTTTCTTTGTTTTTATGAAAATAGTCTCTCCTTGTCCCACATTTTCTCAAATTCTATATAACAAAGAATAGTGGATAGTAAACAAATGACATACTATACTGATCTATTACAATCCTTGAAAGATATAAGGAAGAGTATAAATCACTAACAGTCCAATTCAGCTGCCCAAGCATAGATATAAGAAAGACATAGGGAATAATACTGGGGTTAGCTAACAGCAGGGAAAGTTAGTAGCTATTTCTTAGCTGAGGATCAACCTTCTTTATGGAATAATTTTAAAGAAAATTATTCCAAATCCGAGAGGAAAAAAATAAGCAGTTCATCAATGGAGACTTTAAAAATCTTCATTTCCCCACCCCTGGGATGAGATTTGAAGTTGCAAGGAACTCAGAACAAAGTCCCATGGCAGAAAATGGACATGTTTTTACTCTCAGGAAGTAAACTATTACTTGAATGCTGGCAATACCATCAGAAAGTTCATCTTTACAATACATAAAAGAAATATGTTTGTTATCTTACTCTCTTTCTCTTGTGTCACACCAACACAAATTGGTCATACCTCCAATAATTAATAAGATGTCAAGAAAAGTGGGAAACCTAAGAATAGAAGCATATACATATGCTTCTACTGTGTGTGTGACACACACACACACACACACACACACACACACACATATATATATATATAATGACCTTGGAACCTGTCAAACACTAATCCTAGCCAACTTCAATCCTTCCTTCTCTTAACTATCTTCTCTAAATAAGTTTTGGACATCATCTTGAAATAAGATTTTAGAAGAGTAACATATATTCATGGGATTGGGAGGGAGTATTGTAGAACTGTTTTCTTCT